TATATATATATATATATATATATATATATATATATATATATATATATATATATATATATATACATATATATATATATATATATATATATATATATATATATATATATATATATATATATATATGTACTTATGCATATATGTATATAGATATGTGAATATATAAATGAATTTCTCACTAAAACAACAATATCAGGAATGTACCTTTACACGTTTAGCTGCAACAGCCTGCACCTCGGGAGCGGCTTCCCCAGCCAGTCCACGTGGCCGTAATAGGAGAGTTCAATCGCACATACATCATGCTAGTTAGAGAGACTTATAAAAGTACACCTCGGCTACAAATTCGTTCCACACACGGGTCAAGGTCAACCTAGCTGACCTTTGTGTGTGACCTGACCTTCGGCAACAAGATCTTAGGTCATTCCAAGGGTTCAAGGAAAAGGAAAAATTGTTCGAGTAAATTTAGGAATGGGAATAAAGAACAGGAAAGTGCTATTTTTTTTTTTTGGGGGGGGGGAAGGGGAGAGGAAAGTGGAAGGAAGAATGGGGGAGGGGGTGCTCTGACTCCACTCCACGCCGAGAGATATAAATGTTTAATCTAAAACTATCTTAGAACGTGGATCCAGCCACTTATAAAAACGCGAAACATTAAGAAAAAAAAGTTTCAGCGGGAACAGATGTATACAGTATATTCTAGAATCAAGGAGAGAATAAAAGGGAAATCATTATAAATTCTTTTTTTTTATCTCTTTCTCTCTCGAATTCTACCCTTTCTCTCTCTCTCTCTCTATTCTCTCTTTCTTTAAGTTACACGGAAGTTTCAGCAAAAGGAAGTAAAGACCCATGACATATTTCCTTAACTTTAGAGTAAAACACAATCTCTATTTAGTAAAGCATGACATCTTTTACCAATATATCTCTGTAACCATTTTGTTTCCTTCATCTCCAGTACATAAGAGTCCAATTAGTACATTGTATATAGGGAAATCACTTATATTAATCTAATCATAATGTTAAGATTGAATAAATGAAGATGAGAATACGTACATGTTTTGTTACATCAACGTTAATGTTGTTAAAGAAAGTTGATACAACAAAGGTATTTAGTTATACACACGGTCTGTGTATTTGATAGAGTTTAATTCGACCACCGAAACCTCCCAAGAAAATGCACACTTTATTTGATTTCTTTTATCTAAGGAAATCTTGAATTATTAGGCATCATGTAATTGTCAATTTAATAGTAATGTATATATACACACAATATATATATATATATATATATATATATATATATATATATATATATATATATATATATATATATATATGTATATATGTAAATATATATATATATGTATACATATATATATATATATATATATATATATATATATATATATATATATATTCCATTTCTTATTTTTCTTTCCTATTTCTTGAAATAGCTAAATATTTGACCAATCTTTATTTTTTTCTCCTTTTTACTAGAAATTTCAAAGGAAATGCCTAACTTCTGCAATTAAGCCACAGGCCATGTATTGTATTAGTAGGAAATGTCTTTTCAGAATGTACAAAATATAAAAGAAAACAAACAAACAGATAAATAAACTCAAACTTTCAGAAAAGGGGACATTAATGCAAAAAGAAACGACCCTATATAGAACACTTCAAAAACATAAACACATTACTTTTTGGCATTAAAAGTAATAAAAAGAAAAACACATAATTTAGCAATTTTTCTTTTTTTTTATAATACGGGTTTTTTCACCAGAGGATTAAAAATACTGTCACTGGGTTTACATCCTTTTTTGTGTAAAATCGTTTTTTTTTTTGTGAATTTTTTATATACGAAAAGGTAAATCCACAAGAATAGAGGTTGAATTGCTTCTTTCAACCAGTGTTTTGTGGTAAAAAAAGGAAATAAAATAAATTAAAACGAAATCATATGTCTAGGTTGAACTAGCCTCCAATATTCTGAAATTCGAATATATATAAGTACAATTATTTTTTTTTTTCTTGTTTACTAATGATAATGATTACCATATATAACATGAATTCCGCAACGCCACACAAATGGTGAGTTTAGACAGTTTCGAAACTACACTCATTATATGAAACACTTGTTTACACAGCACACGGCAATTGTTTACGGAAATGTCTATTTAACAGAGATATCGACTTTCATGATAACGTCTTAGTTTCGTTATGGAAATTATATTTTCTCATTTTCCTTTCACACTCACAGTCACCGAAATGTTTACCAGCATTTTCAATATCGTCATAGTTTATTTTCATCACGGAATCACTATCACTGCACTTTTATAAACGGTGATTTTTAACTCCGTCCATAATTATGCAAAGACTTGTACACGTGTATCATTGGGAATAAAATCACTGATGGTGTCGATATATTCATGTTCATTAAATTAGTAAGTTTAATATCCCGCTCCATACTTTTTTTTGCCACCATAATCGGATAATCTCACAGGATAAAAGTACCGTTTTTATTTACATTTCACAGGTTATCCTCACTGGAGATTTTTATTTTCTTTTTTTTTTCTTTCATTTCAAAGGATCGTTACACTATAATCCATCAGTGAACAAGCATTCCTTGTCTTTTATAAATTGTCATAAAAGCTAGTATCGAGTGTCCATAGCTCACTGGCGAAGCATAATGTCAGATTCTCGTTATTTCTAATAGGAAATCAGAACTTACAGTCAGAACAGGATTTTGCTTCCCGTCGCTCAGTTTACCTGCATTCGAAACTTCTGTATAGATTTTCTCGTTCTCAATAAATGCAATCCTCCGACCAATACCAAAGTTGTCACGTCACATCATTGTTGTATCTTACGTGTAAAAGAAGGTAAAAAAAAAGAGTGGAAAAAAAATTGCCTGCGTCCAAATCTCTCGCGTTGACGATGGCACTCAGTCTCCAAACTTTCTGAAAGAACTAAAAACTTCTTTTCTCCACCACATGAATCAACATGGCGTCTCTTTAGCGGCAAAAAGAGACTTCAAGAAAGCATTCGCCGAGAGAATATTAGTTCCAACTGTCGAAATCTCTCTCTCTCTTTTCTCTCTTCCTCGTTTTTTTTTCTTCTTCTTCTCCTCTCCTTCTCTCTTTCTCTCGTAACTTTCGAGAGGGAAGACCCGTTCCCTTCCTCTCTCTCTGTCTCTCTCTTTCTTCTCATAAGTGTCGGTTAGGAAGTTCCCCGCAGCGTAGGACTTCATTTTCCTCACAGGATGTCATTTCTAAGCCCTTAAGTGACATCTCTTCTATGAATTTCCTCCATGCACGGGGGGGGGGTAATAATGCTCTTCGCGTCAGTAGGAGAGAGAGAGATAGATGGATAAATAGATAGACAGATAGGTAGATAGTGAGTGAGTGAGTGAGTGAGTGAGTGAGAGAGAGAGAGAGAGAGAGAGAGAGAGAGAGAGAGAGAGAGAGAGAGAGAGAGAGAGAGAGAGAGAGAGAGAGAAGGAGAGAAATTTCTCTCTTCCTTTTTCTTTAAACTCATAAATGCCATTTCTTCTATAGAGGAAATGCAGTAGGCGAAAATTCTCTTTCTTTCACTCTCAAAAGCTACGCGTGATACAGAAAAGAGACCAAAAAACGACAGTTCTCTCATTTCCTTTCTTTCTCTTTCTCAACTCACACAGTAGGAACCGGTTTCCCCTCTTTCTTTATCTTCTCTTTCTTTCTCTTTCCTTCTTCTTCTATTTTTAAATCCAAATGGGACACTTCTTCCCTCGGAGAAATATAATAAGATCCAATTGTCTTTCTCTTTTTTATCTCCCATCTCTCTCTTTCCTTCTCCTCCTCCTAAATAAATAAAAAAAGGCATTTTAATAAGAACCAATTCTCTCTTCCTCCATCTCCCATCTCCCTCTTTCTCTCCCACCTACTTCCCCCACTTCCTCTCTCTTTCTCTCTTTCTTTCTTCCCTTCTCCTTCTTCTCCTCCTAAACCCACAGGTGACACTTCTTCTCGGGGTTCATAGGGGAACCTACAGGACAACCCCACGTCTCTGCGAAGAACTTGGAATTCTGTGCCACGCCGTTAGCTCGGTAGACGCCTGGGCTGTGGGTGTCCTTGCTGTACTTTTCATAGCCTTCCTTGCTCACCACCTCGCACCAGATCTGGGGATGGGACAGAGGAGTGGGGGTTAGTGTGGGGTGGGTGGGGGTTAGTGGGGGTTTGGGGTGGGTGTTAGTGGGGTTGGGGTTAGTGTGGGAGGTACGCTGTGGGAGTTGATAGAGTAGGAGTAAGGAGAGTGTAAATACAGTCTGAGTTAGCAGAGTGGGAGACAGGAAAGTTGGGGAGAGAGTGGGAGATAAGACTGTGGGAGTTGGTAGAGTGGGAGAGAGAGTGGGAAATAGGAGAGTAGGAGTAAGAAGAGTGTAGAGTGTGCGTTAGTAGAGTGGCAATTAAGAAAGTGTGTGTTAGTACAATGTGAGTTAATACATTGGGAATTGGTGCAGAAGAAAATAGTTTATCAAGTTGAATAAATACTTTGAAGTATATATTTGAAATCGTTTACCTAGTCAAAGGAAAATACAGAACATATATTATATTTTTTATCAGGACATATCATCATAATGCAGTAAACGTTTATCATTTTATCAGATGAGATAAAATATAAACTCATTATTCATTTTTCATTTTGGTTTAAGTAGAATGGGGTAATTTTTTTTATTGTTTTCCCAGGTCAAATGAATATCCTGAAAGGTTTTGTTGCTCGAAATAATTAAAAATGTGTTTTGATATTTAATCAGTCCATATAAATATAATTCAAATATTCTTTTTATCCTATTTTGGAATTAAGATGAAAATGTTATGGATGTTTCACCATTGGTAGTAATGTTATCGTTTTGTTTTGTTTAATTTTGTACAATTATCTTTCCTTTTTTTTCTTTTTTGGTTTTCCGTTTTGTCGCCTTCCCTCTTCTTCACCATACTACCGTCCTTTCCATCCTCTTTATCCACTTCTCTCTCATT